TGGTTGGGGAGCTAAGGGGACACCCTGGCTGGGTAGTGGTTCACACTGTTGAGTGCAAAGACCAGAGTGGGGGCTGTGGTCCAGACTGGACATGGCTGCAGTCCCCTTCAACACAGGTGTGGACTGGGTCTGGGTTGTGCCAGACTGCTGGATTCCAGCACCCAACTGGAGCTTGTGAGAACTAGGATCAGTACAGTATGGGCTGGACTAGGTCTCTATCCCTACTGAGCCATTTGGAAGCTATGTCTCGGTGTGGACCAGGCTTGGCTGAGCTGGGCTGTACCACCCAACAGTTAAAACCAAAAAGGGTATGGCTGGTCAGAAAAGATCACCATTCCTGCTAGGATGGAAGGTGGAGTAAGTAGGGCTGGCCCATGGACCCACCAGTGTGTGTGAGATCTGGCATTGGGAGAGGTTCTGATAGAGGAGCTTGGCACTCCTCTATTGGGACACAGTCACTGCAAGTGAGCACAAGAACCAAGACAGGGAGCAGCCCAGACCAGGACAGGGAATGGAACCCACCAGCATACATTTGGCTCAAATCCAGGGTGAGCCAGGCTAGACCAGTTCACATTACCACTGGCAAATCTGAGAACCAGAATGATGTGTGAGTGAGGTCAGTTGGGCCGCAATACCAGGCAGCTTCATTAGGGCTGGGAATGGGAGCTGCCTGGGCTGGGCTGGGCTAGGCTGTAGCCCCCATCAGCGTGAGCTGGAACTAGGGGTGGCGCCTGGCCTAGCCAGGGTACAGCACTCACTGGCAAATACCAAGGTGAGGTGGACCATGCCAGAATGGGCCAATACCACTCAACAAGCAAATGAGAGACCCAATGGAGGGAAGAAGGGGTGAACATAGTAGGGAGCTGCGTGAGGCTTTCCTGCTAGACCACTACGCCTCTTGGTGAGCATGAGAGCTGGAATTGGAGGCCAACAAGGCTGGGCAGGGCTACAACACCTGTTGGCCTCATGTGAGCTGGATCAGGGGAAAGCCAGACTGGGTTGACTGTTCTACCAGTGCATGCATAAAGAACGGGTATGAATTGGTTGGGCTTTTCTTTAGCAATCGGTGGGATTGCTTGGCAGATATTGGCATGTGGGGCAAACTCTGCCAAGTTAAACTGTAAAACTACCTGGAGAGTACAAGATCTGGGAGTGGGAGTGGGTCCAGTAGGGAAATAGTAGGTACTTCCCTTTAGGGTTGCCACTCTGGTGAGCATGAGAACCAGGACAGGACCAGGCATGGTTAGATAGAGAATGGCACCTGCCATCAGGTATAGTGTAGGTTGGATTGTGGGGCTTGTTGGGTTGAACTAGGTTTCAATGCCCATTGATGTATATGAAAGCTGAGTGGGATGTGGGACAGACTGGACCAGTCTGCTGTACATATTGGCAAGCATGGGAACCACGGCAGGGGGCAGGCCTGGTGGGGGTTATTGGGAGTCGCTCCAACTAGGCTGCAGCTCCCACTGGTTTATGTGGCCAAGTGCGTGGTGGGTGGGAGTGGAACAGGCTGTAACACCCATTAGTTTGTGTAGAAGACAGGGCTGGAGACAGAACTGACCCAGCAATCACAATCACCAGTGTGAATGTAAGCTGATTGGGGCTACAGACTGTGCCAGATCCTGTATTGACAAGCACACAAAAGAATCAGGTCTGGGACTTCCTTGGATGAGGATTCTTTGGGGTCCCCCAACTGAACTGTTGATCTCAGAACTTCAACCATGGAGGAAATTAGAGGGTTCATGGTTTAGCCATGGAATGCTTATGGAATCCTGGGATCCTCAGTGACTTAGACAAAACAGTGGACAACATGGACAGTTGCACATGGAGGATATGGCAGTACACTAGAGCCTGCAGACAAGCCCAGCTCGTCAAAGCCTGGCTCTTGTGCTTCCCAGTGGGAGCTGCAGTCTAGCATGGAGTGCTGACAGTTTCCCTACCAGGCCTGCTCCCAGCCTGAGATCTTGCTCTTGCCACAGCGCGCTGCATTCCACCCTGACATATTTCATACCCAGCCCAGGCACTTAACAGCAGGTGCTACATGGTATGGGCCATGCTGGGCTAAGCTACTTTACCCACTGGTTCACATGAGAGATAAGGATGGGGCACACAAATTATCTGGCTTAGAGTGAGCCTGATAGGAGAATTTTGGGAACACCTGCTAGGCTGCCACTCCTGCTGGTGAGCACAAGAGCTCAGGCTGGGGCCAGGATGGTTGGGCAAGTCCATAGTACCCACTAGTAAATGCTGAGACTGTAGGCAGACAGACAATGTCAGTCTGGGCTGAGCACCCACCAGCATGTGTTAGATCTAAGGTTAGGAGCTGGTATGAATAAGGCAACTTTGGAAATCGCCGTTTGGCTGCAGCTCCTGCTGGTGAGCGTGATTTCTAGGGCTGGGAGCAGTCTAGGACAGGCCTGGATACAGTACCTTTGGCATACATGTAGGCCAAATCAGGGGGTAGGTAAAACTGGACCAATCCACAGCACCTGCTGGCAGGTGTGAGAACCAGGACAGGGTGCAGGCCAGGTCAGGTTGGGCCGCAACTCCCACTAGTTCACATGAGGACTGGAATTGGGTGGAGGCTGGCCAGAGCCAAACTGCAGCACCCATCTGCAAATACCAAATTGAAGCAGGCCACGTTAGACTAGACCACAGTCTACTGGCACATGCAAGACCCAGGGCTGGGGACAAGCCTGCTAGGGGAACATCACAGACTCCCTGGCTAGGCTGCTGTTCTCACTGATGAGCATGAGAACTAGAATTGGGAGCAGAATTGGGAGTAGATTAGCCACCACATCTGCTGACACATGCGAAAGTCAGGATTAAGTACAGGCCAGCCAGACTTTGCCATGGCATCTCCTGGCTGGGTTAGAGCTGGGTGCAAGTCATATCATGTCTGACTATAGTACTCCCTGGCAAGCACAAGATCCATGGCTGGGAATGGACCTAGTAGAACTGAGCATTCCTCTGCTAGGCTGCAGCTCCTGCTGGAGAGCATGACAGCCAGGGCTGGGGACGGGCTGGGCTGGACGAGATGACAGCCCTTGTTAGCATGCATATGTGATGAATCTGGGGGTGGATTGGTCTGAGCTAAACTATAGCACCCACTGGTGTGTACGAGAGCAACATGGGATGTAGGACGGGCCAGACCAGACTGCTGCACATGCCAGGATCTAGAGCTGGGGGTAGATTTGGTGGAGTTACCGGGGGTGGCCCTAACTAGGCCGCAGCTCCCTCTGGTGTGTGTAGGAGCCAGGTTTGTGGCAGGTTGAGTTGGGCTAGGCTGCAGCACCCGTTGGTTTGTGTGGGAGATGGGGCTGGGGGCAGAATTGACCAGGTTAACTTTCATTGATGTGTGTGTAAGCTGAAGTAGGTGATGGATTGAACTTGATCCCGCACTAGCATGCTCACACAAGAGCCAGGACTGGGGTCACCCCTGGTAAGGCTTCTTGGGGACACTTTCCCAATTAGATCATTGGACTCTAACTCCAGCCACAGGGACAATCACAGACTGTGTGGTCTGACCTTGGAGAGAGAAAGGTCCTCTTCCCTTTCCTGTATCTCCCCCACACTGATACAGGAGAAAATGGAAAAAAAAAAAAAGGAACATACTCTCCTTCATCCATACCTCCGTTCTCCCCACCCTATTCAGTGGCCCACATGGACATATATATATCCTTTGCAACTATATAAACACTAAAAGTTAAAAGATTCAGATTGATTGCTAACTTGTGATGCACTTTTCTATTCCTGGGTTTCTTTTGCTTGGTGGGTGGGGTCTTTTTTGTGTTTTGTTTTTTTGGTAATCCTTGAATTTGCACACAGTATTACAGCTTTATCAAAGGGCATTTCTCCACTGCAACGACTACACCTAGTATTACTGTTCATGATTTTTCTATGTGCGGATGCTCTTGGTATCCCATAGAAATCCGCTTGGTTTAATTTATTTGTTTCGGTTCTGTGACAGAATTTCACTTGGTAACATTTTTTTCAATGCTATGCCTGCTACCTAGATTATATGAATTTCAACATTTTCATATTTTGACATAGTTGTTAAGCAGATACAAACACTAGTTCAAGGCAGTAAAATGATTTCATTCCAGACTATTCCAACAAGAAGAGTGGGTTAAGTCAAGAAGAGCTCAATTGTGAGTACAGCAGAGAAAGCTGATGCCTGCAACAAGCAGAACAGGGCATCAATGGGTACACAGTTGCTAAGAGGAGCCAGCAGGGAGCCAGACAGGCCATGGATTCAAGACACCAAGCACAGGGAATGGGGAACTTGAGCAGGTAACAAGGGTGGGAGATTCTGCAGGAACTGTGGCTGAAGTTGGCCTTAGGCGACCCAGGATGAGGCCTGGTCTACATTTGGTTAAGCAGTGCGTCTTTGTCACAGCCAAAGCAACAGGCAAAGAAAATTAACAGTTATATTTGTATGTACCAAAACAAATGTCACCAACCTAGGCTATCACGCTGATCTCCGAATCACCCACGTGTCCGAATTCCCAAAGCGGAAAATCCAGTTGAAACTACCCGACACCGGCACCGCATGTATGAATCTGAAGCACGTGGAGCCCGGTGCGGTGATATTCCACCTGGAGCGGTTCCGGGTCTCCCCTTATCTCACAGGACGACAGGGCGGTTTAGACGAATCCGCCTGGCCCGACAGCCTTCCCATGGAAGGAGCCCCGGGTTATTCAAGGCAGCAGCAATAATCCGGCGCGCCAGCCCGCTCGTCCACGCCGCGCAACCGTACCCCTTCAGCCAATGGAGGAGCCTCGTTCTCCGGCGAATGCACGCCTGCGCACAGAGCCGCCTGCGCCTCCGCCCCGCGCCCTTGTGGGAAATGTAGTCCGGCGCTCTGGGCGCGGCCTCGCAGCGCCCCCAGAGCTGGGGCTCCCCAGGTAGAGGGTGAGTTGCGGGCCCATCGCGGGGACGCGCGGGGTGATGTGCGAAGCGCCCTCCCCAAGACCCGCGACTGCCGGACGGGGTGTGGGCGTGATGGCCGGGGGCTGCCACGCCGGGGCTAGAGACGTGTCCTCACACCCGGAGGCCGGCCAAGAGGGACGAGTGCCCCCGACACGGTCCTCCCACCTGTCGCGGGGGTGAGGGGCACGGAGGCCGGGTCCGCCCCTGGCTCTGAGGGCTCCCGGAGTCGCTCCGAGCGCAGTTGTCTCGGCGTGTGGTTCCCCGTGGCACGAGGCCCACGCTAGGGCGGTGTGGGAGCGCCGTCGAGGTTCTCCCGGCTCCGCACCTGCCTTTGGTGTTAGGACTTCATTCTGGGGCCTGTTTCCTGGCGTCCAGATCCCAGGGGGCGCCGACCTGAGCTGCTCTTGACCCTTGCCTTCATCGGAATGGGGAGGCCAACCTGTGCACACTTGTACTTGAGATTTTTTTTTTTTAACTTGGAAGTTCTCCGTGAGTCCACTGGGAGAATACAAATGAGGAAAACAATTGGAAACCTATCAAAAGCCGCATGTCGGTGTGTGCATATAGACACCTGAACAGCGAGCTTGTCAGTATGTCTTTTCCATTTACTGCATGTCCTGGGAAGTGCGCCCTCTTCAGCAATGCAGTGGGAATAGCAGACATGATGAAGAAGAAGAATAGATTTTTTTTTTTAAACAATGAGCAAATTGAAGACAGTTACTGATTCTCCGTTTTAAAAACCAGCTACATTGTCATTTTAATAACCGTGAGAACAACTGGCCCTGCCATATGTGATCTTGTCTTCTGGCTTTTCTCCTGGAGGTTGGTTTGCTTCTCGCGGTTTAGTTGTGTCCAGACCCTGCAGGAGAAATGTTACAGGTTCACGGGTGAAGACATTGTTCTTCCGGGTTTGAGGGCTTCTGATCTGGGAGTTCACAAAAATGTTCATCTGCCTGTAGTTTCTTCTCGTACTTTCCTTTTACTCTTACGTTTTTACTCTTTCAGATGGCAGTGTCTGGCTACAAGTTACTGAAGTATCCGTCATTTCTTCACTGCCTGAGCCGTGCTACTGCTTGTGAATCCTAAATCCGTATAGCTTTTTCCTGAACCATCTGTATCGGTAGGACTAATTTGTTCCCTTGGTCCTGGTCCTGGTTGGATGGAAGCAGAGTTTACCTGTTTTACTTAAAGCAGTAGTTCACCGCCACTCCTGGGAATGGGGCCGAGAATGCAGGAGGTGTCAGGAGTAACTCTGCCGGTTCAGTAGTAACAGTGTTCTGATTGATGTAACCTGATAAATTCTGACAGACAAGTTCTCTCTCATTGGGGAACAAACCAGGAATTCCCTCCGGGGCTACCAGGTGGGTGTCAGGGGCTGAACACTTAAGCCATCCTCTGCCGCCTTTCCAGATGTAAGAGTCAGAATCTGGATGGGAAGGGGAATAGTTGGGACTGAGAGCAGCACTCAGATATGGGATGCCAGCGCAGTAAGCAGCGGCTTAATCTGAAGCACCACAGTGCTGGCCCTCTGAAATCCTACTTTCCGTGGAGGTGAGTTGAGTTTAGCTTTTCATGGCTCAGTTCATGGAGTGGCAGAGAGCCAGTCAGGGCAGTTAGCATCCGTATCATTGCCAACAGTTGTCGTTTTTCTCTATTGGGAACACGTGAAATTCTTTCTTCTGGTGATTGTGAGCTGTATTGTTAACTGTAATCACCCTACCGTGCTGTGGAGCTTTGGGACTTATTCCTCTTACTAACCAGGAGCCAGGATCCTCTCCCAGGCCTCTTATGTAGGTCCAGGGGCCCAGGACTTGAACCATCCTCCACTGCCTTCCTGGGCCATAAGCAAGGAGCTGGATGCAAAATAGAGCAGCCACCTATAAAGGTGCTTGCACTGCAGGTAGGCCAGCCTGATAAGCCACCACACTGGTCCCCCACTTTTCTTTGTTTTTTTTTCACGTAAGCATAATAAAATAAGTGGCATAACTTGAAAAGTAAGTTTTCTTTATGTGGATGCCGCCTGTTTCCTGTTTGGTTCATTGTGTTTTAGGAGTCTTGTCTTGTCACAGGAGTCCCATCCTCATGACTTCTTCTCTGTTCCCCAGCTCTACCTCCCCTGGAGTCTACATAACCCCTAGAAGGCCCTGCAGGAAGAGAGGAGAAGGGGATGGTTGCAGGGCCGCTTCTGCCAAGGGCTCAGGTGAGCTAGGTTTCTCCTGCACCCTCTCCATGGCCTCCATCTGGGCTAGTGAGATATCAGGAGGTTCAGAGTTTCCTACCAGGCCCCTCTGTGTCCCTTACCTTTGTTTCAACCTGTGCTCATGTTAGCTTGGTCCGCAGTTTGCTGAGCTTTTGGTGTAGTTCAAGGTCAGCAAAGCAGTGAAAATCCTGTCAAAGATGATCCTGGTGCTGAGCAATCCTGCAGCTATCAGGGATCATGAAAGAGACACTTCTACTGGGCTGGACGTCAAGATAGCACCTGGCCATGGCCTTCAGCACAGGTACAGGCGAGTTCTTGGGGCACCAGTGTTCCAAGACTGGCCAAGCGAAGACCTGGTGGTGACCCCGAGAAGGATCACGAACTCAAGAGACGAGGAGGGATGGCTGGAGAGGACTTGCTGTCTTGGGGCTGGAGTGTTTCAAATTTAAGTGACTTCCCCGAAGTAGGCGTTGTTGTGGCAATGCCATCACTAATAGCACTAACCCAGTATCTGCTGTACATTGGATGTGGCTGAGGATTTCATATGGCTTTGTTGCATTCTCTCAAGCCCACTTCATGGATTTCTTGGAAATTCAAATAATGTGCCAGTCATGGTTCCTGGAATATTTCCAAAGTAGTGGTGTACTCAGTGTTTTTCCAGCTGAGAACTCCGTGTGTAGTTTTAGAGCTGGGGTGGATGTAACAGCAGTCGAAGTGAGACGCCATGTATGGAAGGAGGGGATCTCAGAATTTGATCAGGTTCCAAGAAGGAGGAGCCTGTGTGATGGGGGTGTTGGCCACAGGGTAATGAAGGAGCCTGAGAGCTCAGCCTGGGGATTTTCATTAGGGAAGGTTTTCTGCAAAAAAAAATAATAATAATAATAAATAAAGTAACATGAGTCTCTTAAAGGGATTCATGGAGTCAGAATTGTGAGGAGTCCTGGAACACCAGACCCCAAGTTCTTTTGTTGGTTTTCGGTTTTTAAGATTTACTTGTTTGAAAGGCAGAGTGACAGAGAGGCCAAGACAGAAAGGAGACCTTTATCTGTTGCTTTTAAATCCTTAAGTTTATTCAACTATGTTGTCTATAATACTGAACTGACTTGTAGTATCTCTTTTCATTACATCTTACATCAAAGTCCTCTTAAAGATGTCACATGCTTGTTTAGGAAAGAAGTCAGCTTCAGAGGGATTCAGGGAGACATGTGTAACTGCACTCAGTATCATCAGCTCAGTCATGAAGGCTTGGTAATACACAAAGAGAAGAGCAGGTGTTCCTGGGATTGGGGCTAATGATGGCTGTCACTTAGTTGTCAGAGGCCTAGAGTTAATTTTCCTTAGTTTAAAAATAGTGTTCATTACCATCGGACGAAAGATCTTCCTCTCTGTCTCTCCTCCTCTCCGTATATCTGCCTTTCCAATAAAAATAAATGAATTTCTAAAAAATATATAATGTTCATTGCATTTTAAATCAGCTTATTTTGAGGTATAATTTACATAAGATATCCTATTCAAAAGATAGAGCATTTTTGTCACCCTTGTCCCTGTTCTGTTTTCTGTCTTCCCCTGCCTGGCTATCACTGGCTTGGTTTTCATCCTTGTGAGTGAGCCCTACTGTCCTAGGTCCTTATGCCCTGGAGATGGTGCCAGGTATAGGCTGTGCACCTGGCTGTTTCGGCTCTTCCTGTCCTTCAAGGCTCCCCCTTTTGGGGAGTAGTGGTTTGTTTTCTTTTATATCTAAGTCATTTTCTATTAGATTCTATGTTGATTCATTCACTTATGATAGGCTTTCCTGTTTTCAGCTATGTTGAATGAAAACCACCCTAGGCACTCATGTGCCAGGTCCTTATGTGGCTGTATGGTCTCTAGGAGTGGGATGACTGGACCCATGCATGCTGCTTTTGCAGGTGTCTGAACATTGTGGGTTTCCCCCAGCACCGCCTGGATCCATTGCTGTGTACCTCTTCCTTGTTGGGGTGTCCTTTTCCCAGGCTGCTGTTCCCTGGGGTGGCTCCTAGCAGAAAGGGGTTGGCTCATTTGTGGAGGCAGCAGTCAGTCTATACCATGTCCTCCCCAAAGCCTGCAGAGAAGCTGACCTTTCCTCTGCCAAGCCCCTGGCTCCTGAAGATTTGCTGGCACCTTTGTTGTTCTGGGCATACAGCTGCATAACTTACAAGTCATTTAAAATTAGGTATTTGCCCTATCCCACCGTGGCCTCATCCCAGATATTCCAATTTGCAATGAATTTATTTTTAAGTAAGGTCACATTCCAAGATTCTAGGACTCAGGACTACCACTTATTAGTTTAGAGGGATGTAAGTCAGTCTGTAACACGTGGTATTGTAAGTTTATAAAAACTGAGACAACTTACCTGTACTTGTTCATTCCCCAAGTGCTCTTTTTAAAGATGTATTTGCCTGATTATTGAAAGGCAGAGTGACACAGAGATTCCATCCACTGCCTCACTCCCCGAATACCTCCAACACTAGGCTAGACTGCATTAAAGTCAAAAGTGAAGAATGCATGGGTGACAGAGGCCCAAGCACATGGGTCATCATCTATTGTTTTCCCAGGCACATTAGCAGTGAGTTGGATCCTACGTGAAACAATCAGATCTCAAACTGGCACTCTGATAAGAGGATGCAGGCATCCAAAGCTGCAGTTTTATGTGCCGTATCACAATGCTGGCCCCTTCCCCATGTGCTGTTAAACGATAGGGCCGGAGCCAGGACCTGGGAGCACAAGGCAGGTGCCCCATGACGGTGGTGAGAGCCCAACCATTCAAGCCATCACCACTGCCTCCTGGGGTGCACACTGGCAGAAAGCTGCAGTTGAGCTCCAGCTGGAATAGAGCGACTCAGGCCATTGTCAGATGTGGATCTTAACAGCCAGGCTGAACACCCACTTGAATCTTTTGGCCATTCTTAAGGGCTGAAAAAGGCATCTTATTGAATTTTTAAAAAAATTTTGTGTGAAATAATTTCAGCCTTAAAAAAAACTTTGTAAATAATATAAAGAATTTCTAAATTAGCACACCTAACGTTTTACCATACTAGTTGTAATTCTGGTTTTTCTGCCTTTTATAAGAGTGCAGGCAAGTGCTTGTATGTTTTTACAGACGTGTACGTACATGTGTGCATGCTGCATGTGTTTCTAAACCATCTGAGAATAAGTTGTAACCATGGTTTCACTTGTGTCTGTTTCCTAAAAATAAAGCATGTATCTTACATAACTAAAATAGAGATTTCAAAATACTTACATCAGTGCAATACTGTTAGCTAATATGTAAGCATTACTGAAAGTGGTTTTTTTTTTCAGAAATTTTCTTTTTAATATTGTTTACATAGTTGAGAGGGATACATGCCCATGTGGGCCTCTGATTAGGGTAGTAAGGGTAAGATATAGAGTAAGGTGGGTGGGACAAAGTTTTAGTTTTTTGTTCTCCTGTGTCCACAGGAGAGGAGACGGAGCGGGCAGCTCCTTGCTGGCAAACTGCATGAGCACTGGTGATGGGGAACAGTCCTTTAATGATGCTCTAGAGTCCCTGATGCAGAGGAGTGTTCCAAGGGTGTTACTTGAGTAGTTTCAATAGCTGAGACATTGTTAGTTTCGTGGTTCTAGAATTGAGAAAAATTTACCAAGATCTGCAGGTTGACAATGTCCACCTTAGTGCTTTCATAGACCCAGGAAAATGCTGCAAAGCTTCTCCAAGAGAGCTGTGCAACCTGTTCTTTCCATCCACTCTGCCATCTGCTCTCCTAAATGAGCTGGAGGTCTTGTCCCTGGTGTACATCTGGGTATGCTGTCCACTGCAAAGCCATCAGCAACTGAGGAGACTCAGTCCTGGCACATGCACTCCAAGGCTGTACCACATTTCTTGTGATTTTCTCTGTGACCGGGGTTTGAATCAAGTGGCATTGTCAGGGAGCCCCCCCAAGAATCCTTGTCTGGGTGACCTCAGGCTTGACTCCTGTATGTACCAGTCAGTGCAAGGTCTGTGCAGTCTGTTTCCTGCACCGGTGAACTCACATATTAGTGGTTGCAAGCTGCCTGTTCAGTTCTACCCAGCCCCATATGTCACGTGAACTGATGGATGTTGCAGTATAACCCAGCCCAACCAGCTACACACCTGTTCCTTACACATACCAGTGGGTGCAACCCATAATAACCCTCACTAGGCCCTCCCCGACCTTTGATTTTTGCATGTGCCTGCCTCTGCTGCAGCAAAAGCATGACCTAGCCTAGCAAATGAGTTTTCCAAATTCTACCAGACCTGCTCCCACCTCTGGATCTCACTTGTGCTGGTAGGTGCTACAGCCCTTTCCTGGTATGGCCTGCTCTTATTCCATCCAGTGAATGTGTCTGTGGGTGCTGCATTCTGGTCTAGCCCAGCCTTTGCCCAGGCTCAGGCTTCTGCAAGTGTTGCTGACTTCCATGGTCCAGCCTGGGGCACATCACCACTTACTCTTGTGCAAACCAGCAGGTGCTGCACTCTCACAGAAGCGAACCCAAAAGGCTCCTACAGAATATGTCATCAGATCTGGTTTTTTCACATTCTGTTTGATGTTGCCAGCCCAGCCTGATGGTGACTCATTCCTTCTTCCAGCACTCATGGGCTGGTACTGTAGCCTAGGCCTGCCAAGCATGTCCCCCGCCCCCCCCCCCAACTCAAGCCCTTTTTTGCATGCACTAGTGGGCAGCAGGTGATGCTGCTTAGCTCAGCTCTGGTGTCCCACATTGGCAGGTGCCTTGGCCTGACACAGATATGCCCTGTAGTTTACCTTCCCTAACAGCCCTGTCTCAGCTCCCTCACCTACCTGTGAATGCAGTGGCCCGGTCCTTGGAAGTTTCCAGAAGTCACTCCTCACCTGTCAAATGCGCCCTTGGCGACCCCCACTCCAGCATATCCTCAGACCCCCTCCTTCTCTTTCCATGCCTGGGGGCTATGATGCCATGTCCTAACCCAGTGTCCCCATCCTCCTTGGGCTGCATAATGTGGA